GCTCCCGAATGCCATTCGGGTCTGGGAGCCATATATATATATATATTACTAAAGCTCCCAGACCCGAATGGCATTCAGGAGCTCCCGAATGCAATTCGGAAATTCTGATTCCCGAATGCCATTCAGGTCTGGGAACCATATACATATATTATTAAAGCTGAGGCTCCCAGGCCAGAATGGCATTCGGAAGTTCCCCAATGCAATTCGGAAATTCAAATCCCGAATGCCATTTGGGTCTAGGAGCCTCAGCTTTAGTATTCTATGTATATACTGTATAAAGTATGGCTCCCATGTTGCCGTAATGAAAATTCGTGTTTAGACCCATTCGGATGCATTAACCGGAAAACACATCTGATTGGCCAGAATACTCAAATGTCCGATTCAGTTTAGTTTTTGAACGAAAATCGGACGGGATCCGAAATTCGGAAACGGAAATTCGTATTCGGACACATTCAGATGCATTGTGATGCAGAAATTCAGTTGTGTCCAAATGCCCGGATTTCTGAAAATCCGTATGTATTTTGATTCGAAATGAAACGTATGTCTAACACACACAGGGACCATGGGGGACAAAAGTAGCCACCCTCCAGAAGGAAGGACAGTGTCAGCACCAATTCAGAGATGATTTAAGGTTGAAATAAATTTTTGTTACCAGTTGAGGTACTTGAATGCATTTTTATAGTTTAACTCCTGAGTTTAGTGTCACTTTAAAACAGCTGGGAGAGGGTCTTTTCATGCAGCTTGTGGAATGCCAAAAAGCTGCATGTGCTGTTACAGAACAGTATGATGTAGTATTTAAAAAGTGCTGTTTAAAAAAAAATTAGAGAAAAATTACGTTCCCTTTAAAATTCTAACCAGACCCTTATCCAGACATGCAGCCTGGGTGGCCAAGAAAGGAAGGACAATGAGCGTGCATCCCCCCTTCCTGTTCCATACCTGGCAACATGCCTTTCAACGTTGCTGAGTGGCACCTTGTCCCAATGTTGAGAGACAAGGGCCTCTTTACTGTCCCCTAAAAACTATGTGGGGGTTTGTAGGGGAACTTATTGGTGACCCCACAATGTTAAAAAGCATGTGGCCTGGTATGGCACGGGAAGGGGAGGGGCCCACACTCACTGTAACTCCCTTCCCTGGCCACCCAGACTGCATGGCTGGATAAGGGTTTTTAGGTGAAACCCCATTGTTTTTTTTTTATGTGTGCTACCCCTTAATAAAACAGAAAAATCTGGCTTAGAATTCAAGCCATACCCTTATCCAGGCACACAGCCTGCATGATCAGGAAAGAAACGATAGTGAGTTTGTGCCCAACCCTCTCCCCCCTTCCTCAACATCATTGGGCGCAGGTTGTCATGGAAGCGTGGAAGGATCATCCAAAGTGCTTAACATATTGATGTTGGGTCTTTGTAAAGAAGGATTTGTCAGGTGTTGCTATATGGGTTAATAGATGGGTTATATGGTTTAATAGATGGGTCTGCTTTTTAAAACATCAAGAAAAGGGTGCTTCCTGGACAATGAGTGGCAATGAGTTCCATATTGTGGGTGCTGTCATTGAGTGCACAAGATCCAAAAGATTTTAAGACAACTCTGGGCACCTGTAATTTACCTTTTTCTAAAGAGCTGAGGGAGTGTTTGGGAGTATGGATAACTATTAGCTCTGTCATATAGGCAGGGCTCAAGTTATTTAAGTGAGTAGGCCAATATTTCAGGGTATCCTTCATTTAAATGAAAGTCGGAGTAGGATGTGAAGAACTGGGGTAATGTGCCTGTGACAACAAGACACCTGTTGCTCTTGGTCACAGGGTCACCATTGTCTGGTTTGAAGCACTAGTAGAGTTGTGTGTCATCTGCATAGCAATAGTATCAGGTAAGCAGGATAAGCCTATGGTGTTAGATGATGTTTTCCATTGGGATAATGTATACAGTAAATAAAATTGGTGAATGGAGCCCTATACCATCTGTAGGGTTATAGAAAGTGAGAAGACTGGGTGTATTCCTGCTGCTACCCTTTGTGATCTCTCTGACAAAAAGGAGTTGAAGCAGCCAAGGGCCAAGTAAATTCTTCCAAAATCTTCTAGTCAATAAAATGGATGGGTAGATTACAAATGACTTGTGCTAACCCTTGTTCTAAACTTTTCCTTTTCTATTTAAACAAACAAAAGAAGTTTGACCTATGGGTACATTTTAAATACATAACTTACTATTATAGGAAGCTATAAAACACTGAAGGTAAGAAAAATATCACACGATTGCAGTTGCATCGAACAGCAACCAATTCTTTTTTAATGTTTCCCCAAAATAAACCGTGAAATCTGATCTTATTGCTCACAATTCTAGATCTCTGCTTTTATTTCATTCTCATTTATTTTATTGTAATGCTAAGTCCCTGGAGCAGACAACAATGAAAGAAGAGTGATTACTGCAGCAGCACTGAGCCTGCAAGGCAGCAGAGAAAAGTTTTCAGAATGAGGACAATAGGTAATAAGGTTGATGTCAGATGGGCAGTTTTGCCGCTAGTGACCTATCGCCAGTGGCAGGCCTGCTAAGGCTACGGGCAGGATCTCTAAGAGGCTGCTTGCCTGTCCCTATGAAATCACTTATATCAGTTATCATGGGTCCCAAATGGAAAACAAGGTCAAGTATGTGACACTTGGTTCTCCTGAACCGAAGGGGTCCTGGGGCCGAAGCTAGCCGAAGGATCGGCCGAAGCTACGGCCAGATCCTTCGGCAGCTTTGTGAATAGACCCCTTGGTGTGAGTGACAGATGAGAGACTTGGAAATTGAGATTGCTTCTCATTAACCCAGGCACTGAAGTCCCTAAAGATGAGCAAGCAGGGGAGGTCTATGGCCAGCACAGTTATAATACTGGTTATTTACTGAAGAAAGTTTTTTCCATCACCTGGTGGTCAGTAGATAAATAAAATTTCACAGCTTCTTTCTCCAGTGAGTTGGGCCAATGGAGGTTAATTTTGGATGAAAATCACATTGCAGCAGTTTCCCCACCTTTGTTATCTTGTCTTGGGCAGTGAAAGACCAATGTGTACATAGAAAGAGCTATATGTATGTACCATGGGAAGGGTGTATTCTGACTGGGGAAAGACCACTCTATGTACCGGGGGTTGAAATCTCACTGTGGAAAGTTAATCTCTGTGCTGTAATTGGGATCTGACTGTGGAAATACCAATTTGTGTGCTGGAGGTATGATTTCCATTTAGTAGCAAAACATTCATGACAAATATTTTAAAATATTAACAGCCACACAAAAGCATAAAGATTTGCAAACGTGACTTTGCCTAGTGTTTTTTTTTTTATTCAAAGCGCTCTGTGACAGATCATGTAGTTATGATTTTACTAAGCAGTGCTGATGTATGTGCTATAAAGTGGAATATTAAATGCCTTTATACCAAACATCAGTCATATTTTGGGAAGACAGAGCCACACTGAGTGACTATAGCCAAGACTTCAGAAATCTATGCATACACCATGTTTTCACTCATATATCTTCTTGTTTTAGAATGAAGTCGAGCTGGGAGAGCTGCTTCTGTCGCTTAATTACCTGCCAAGTGCTGGAAGATTGAATGTGGATATTATCAGAGCAAAACAACTTCTTCAGACTGATATGAGCCAGGGATCTGGTAAGCCTTGCTTACTGATGTCTAGAGCTGTGAGTTTTTATTTCAGAACCAGCTGCAGAAAGTCGTATAAATATCTATATTTGTCTTTTACAAAATGTTATTGCAAAAAGCAATTAGTACAAGCAAAAATGTACAGAAATAGATACAGTTCAAAAAGAGGTTAATTGGTACCACTGGGTTGTAATAAAGTATATTTAGTCTGTTGCAGGTTTTGTCCATTAAAGAAGAAATAGTGACAAGGTCAAATATTATGTCCAGCCTCCAGATAGCATGAAGGGCAGGTCAAAGTGATGTTAAATTGATAATAAAGTTGAAAGCCTTTTAAGCTATTTCAAATGCTGATTACATCACTTAAAATGGATGCTTCTCCTTGATTTTTATAAGTTTTAGCTTCCTGGAGAATCTAGGGTGGCTCCTTTCCCTTGCATGGTCCTATGGAGCCACCCTTATGTGTGCAAACACAGGCACAGAAAGGCAAGCCACTCACCACACCCTGCTCCTTCTTCCTCTCTCTCGATTCCCCCTTCTCCTTGCTAGTAGATGGACATCTGCTGAAGACTGTGCTGTCCCTTGTGATCTTGTACTGGACAGGTAGTTCATGGAAGCAGAGCTGAGAGAGCTGGAGTCAGCTGTATGGAAACATATTGACTGTAAGTGATTGGGCAAACATTTTAAGAAGTACTTTGCTGGGCAATTTATATTTGCTTGCTCTGGATTCATTGGTGCAAACAAGTTTGAGAGTTTATTTCTGCTTTAAGATGGCAGTAGGCTGTTGGGCATAGGTATTGTTAGTGGTTATTTTAAAGAAGGGGATGAGAATGCAAGTGATAGGAGGGAGAGGAGAGAGGGAAAAATAAGCAGGTGGGGAGAGGACAGGGAGAAAAAGATGGGCTGAAGGGGGGAGTAGGTTTCCACTGCCTTCCCAGCTAATGAGGTGAGACCTTTCACTCTAATGTTATCTTCTGGATATCTTAAATGTAGAGAGACGTTTTATATTTAGGGCAACTGTAATCCATCCATGGTTGCCATATCTGCACAAAGATTTCATATTTTTCTAGGAGGATAGTAGTGAGCTTACTATTAGTGAAGATGTCATCAATCCTTTGCTTCCGTTCCTGAAAGTTAAGAATGGCTGGTTTCCATGCTGTGGTATATTTAGTTGGTAATGTACATTGTCTGACATCTAAAGTAGTTGGGATTCCCATGCTTTCATTTTAACATTGCCATTTAGAAAAGTTCGAATAAGATGGTAATTCATTGTCCATATTTGCTGGGCTACTGGATATCCTCACCAAATACAAACCATGGTGTCAGTTTTGAAGAAGGTAGAATGGTACTATGGAACATATTTTGAGATACTACTGTCACTTCATCAAGACTCTGTGATCTAAGAATGTTACAAATGTAATGTTAATTATGGATGCTTGTCAGATCTGTTAATACATTACAATGAAATTAATATTTTAAATGAACCTTATTTAATATTTTTTTTCTAGATCCTTTTGTGAAGATTCAGTTAGTTCATGGGTTAAAGTTAGCGAAAACCAAAAAGACATCTTGCATGAGAGGCACCATTGACCCTTTCTACAATGAGTCCTTTAGCTTCAAGGTCCCACAAGAAGAGCTGGAGAGTGCCAGCCTGGTATTTACAGGTTAGTAAGATAATTAGGTGTTCATTCTAACTAACTAAATAATGAATTAACTAACTACAGTAGTTAACTGTCATTAAAGTAAAATTATGGCCTCAGAAAAAAATGTTGTACAACACAAAAGTATAGATAAGTGTGCTACTCTGGTTCCCCCTTAGACCCCAGCAAGTTCCCCAAATTACTTGTTTGTTCCTGCCAGCCAAGTCTCCACCTTCCTGCTGTTTAACTGCTTCTGAATTTAGGTGAGCACTTGGATTACAGTGGGATGTGGTGACATAGTAGGGGACCTGGTTATCAACAATGGCACTGTTGGGTCTCCAGTTTCTGGCCATATATAACCCTTGGTGACTTTCAAGGAATATGCTCTGCACGTCAGCAGGGCAGCCATCAGAAATGTTGGGGCCCCTTACACGGCTTTATGCATGGGCCCCGCCACCCTACCAACACTGCACCTGTCCATTGGCTTTCCCTTTGAGTCCGCCCACTGTAACACTAATTAAAGTTGCAACACTATTACAACTTAATATATGAAACTGTAATGTGCATTCCAACGCACAGGCAACACTGACGCCGCTGGAGTGATGACGCACAAGAGACGCTGACGTCTGCCAACCCTCCCACCCAATGGACGCTGTTTAGTGTTTGCACAGCTGCTATCCTCTGCGCTGCCCCTCCCCCCCTCCTTGTGCCACCAGTCAGCCTCAGGCACCAGTCTGTCCTCTGCAAAGGCAGCAGCTCTGCTCCCGTCTTTCTTCAGTGCTTTTCGGTCGGCTAAAACATAAGCTGCGCCCTCTGAAAAACCTTCCTGCACATACAGGAAGGCATCAATTGCACGGAGAAGGAGGGAGCGGGACCGTACCAACTGGACTGTACATAATATTTTATAGCATATACTCCTTGGTTGGAGCCCGGGCCCCCCAAGCTGCTGGGGCCCCTTACTTGAATGCTGGCCGTACCCCCCTGATGGCGGCCCTGCACGTCAGCATCGGTACATGTAGCTCCAGCTGGGACACAGCTTATTGGCACAGATATTTTAAAGCTGAACTTTGGGATCCACCTTACAATGCTCCCAGCCACCCCCCCTCCCTAAGCACAGTTTATACCATGTATTTCTTCTTTGTTAAAAGAAGAGTGAATGAGCGACAAAATTAGTGTTCAGGCAGAGGCGTAACTAGAAACCCCAGGGCCCTGGTGCAAGAAACCATTGAGGCCCCCCCTCCCCCTCAATAAAAACATGATTTTGATACCTTTTTTTTTTCTTCTATGAAATGAAAAGTTTTTTTTTTGTTTTTTTTCAGGGCTAGTTCACACCAGCTCCAGTGTGTTCCGGCCGCGTTTTCTGCTCTGGAACGCACCAAAACACATGCAAACACATTAAAAAAAGCATGCAAACACCCTGGAACGCACTGAAAGCTCATTTTAGGCTACAAAAAAAAAACAGACCGGTACATGTCAAAAACGCAGCAAAACGCACTGCGCTACATATGCAGAAACTCATGCAGATCTGGTCCGAATTTGGTGTGAACAAGCCCTAATGGACTCAGGATCAGTAGTAGGGATGCACAGATACCAAGGTCACATACTTGGTATAAGTACAAATACAAATATAAGTATTGATACTTTTCCAGCTCCAAGACTAGACTAGAGAAAAACTCAAAAGTTAGGAGGCAGCTGTCATTTTCAAAGAGCATTGGCTACTGGGCTCCTCAGATTTGTGCATCCATGTCTTAATGTATGATTTGTTTTATATAGATATGTATTAGGGATGCACCAATACCAATTTTTCCAGACCAAGTACAAGTAGTCACAGATACAAATTATTGATACATTTTTGTTTCATGTCAGGTGACAGTTTTTCTAAAACACTAATGATTTCAGGACAGTGGTGGAGCGCCAGGGCCCAGTCGCAGCTGCAACCACTGCAACCCTGGTAGTTCTTGTGAAAATGCCAAGTATCGGCACTGGTAGCCGAACTGATGCCTGTGCATCCCTAATCAGTAGCTGTTCTTATATGGGTTATACTGCCACCTACAGTAGGGTTTGGACACTGGCAAACAGAAAAGCTGTTGGCCAGGCAGGTATAGCCCCTCCCACTCCTCCTCCTAATTGAATACACCATTCTGGTTGAGCATTGGTAGCTCCCACACTATTTGGTAATGTTAAATGCCACCATTACTACCATTACTCCCTTGTTCCGTCAGGTTCTGTGGAATTACATGCTGCATCATTAGCTTGAGTGTCACATGTCCTCACTCTCCACTCTGTTCTCCTTTTCTTCCTTCAGTGAGAGGTAACTTCCTCTTGCCTTTGTTCCTATACACAAGATACATGCAGTTCACATCCCAATTATTCCTTGCTGCTGCTTACATCTGGACATTAAACCTCTCCCATTTTTCAGCATTCAGTGCTGCTGTACTTTGGCATTTATTCATTGTCACAATTAAGGCACTGGAGCACCAGGAATCGTAAACTCTGGGTCTTGGGGAGCAGCATATAGGGACTCAATTAGGTATGGGCAGGAATATGGGTCTCTGAAGATGCAGGGACAGTGTGACCGCACAACAAACGCAGGTGTGCCAGAGTTGCAGGGTCTAAGGAGCCACCTGGTCTTCCCCAGAGCCACTGATGGTGTGGACAGCAAACAGCAAACAAAGAGATACACGGACAGAAAACATAGGGAATGAAAGAGTGCAGCAGGAAGGGAACACTGAAACCAACAAGACCAAACAAAGACACAAAATGCAAGGTATACTCAAGCGGAAATACCACAGAAAACAGAGAGGTCCAGCTACTAGCATGGAGACACGTTGCTCGAACGCTAAACCACAGGCGCACAAGCCTTATAACACCTAGGTTCAGGGCGGAGTAACCGGAAAACGAGCAGCTCGGACAGGATGCAAAACCCGGCGCCGGATCAAAGTACAAGGAACTGTGACATTCAGTCATGCAATGCTGTACTGAAATGAATTTTATACCCTTTTTTGGGGACAGATAGAGCTTTCTTTTGGTGGTATTTAATCACCACTGGGGTTTTTATTTTTTACTATATAAAAAAAAGTACCCTACATTTTGTAAAAAAACCTGTTTCCCTATGAAATGTTATGAAACATTTATTATCACCCCAATTTTTTGGTAAAATATAAAAGACGGGGTAAATAGACACCAAACTTGTCAAATCGCAGAAAACAGCCACACCCAAAATTGGCCCTAGGCAATGCTTTAAAAGATTTTACCGCTCATCAGTTTAATGTTATCAGTAATTAATGGCCCTAAAATTATTGCTCATACTATGACGTTCGTGGCGATATTTAACATGTGCAGCACAATAGGCGGAACCGTCGTTTTCCCACGTTGGCGCCTCTGATGCATGTATGCTTGTGTATGTGAGGGGGGCGGGGGACTTTTTAAAAAAAATTTTGTGTTATTTTACATATTTTTTTATTTGTGACAATTTTTTTAGCTTCTTTATTTTTTTATGCTTTAATTTTTTTAAAACTTTTTTTTTTTTACACTTAACTTTATTGCTATCAAATAGGGGACTAAGAAATCCCCTATGTGATAGCCAATTCATGACAGGTCCTCTTTATGCAGACATCAGGGGTGTCCAAGATCCCTAATGTCACCTAGGGACCCCCAGAGAAGCTGATGAAGCAGAGACCTGCTTCACCAGCTTCTCACCGTTGTTCTGTACCGGAGAGTGACACTGAATGCAGGAAGTGATGTAATATACATCACTTCCTGCATTCGGGGACCGAGAAGAGATCAAAGGGAGATTGTGTACTGAGCTCCCTTTGACCTCCACTGAGAGCGTCGCCATCCCGGTCCCAGCCCCATCAGGCACGGCGGATCTGGGAATTGGCAGCGAGGACGCAGCAATGACGGAGGTACGGGGGGCGCACACCGCAGCTCCTGCAAGCGATCGGGCGTCTCTAGAGACGCCCGCTCGCTTGAATGTAAACAGCCATCGCTGGCTGTTTACATTGCTAACAGTTCTCCACACGTGTGCGCGTTGAGAGGGGGCAGGGCGCCTCCCACTCCTACAAGACTCCCATCCGGCCGTTCAGGAACGGCCATGGACGAGAGGTGGTTAATTGCGACGGTCCAGGCAGCAGAGACCTGCTATAGCAGGCTGGAGTCTATTTATATTTTCTAGCCAACTCTTAGCTTTGTGGTGGAAGTGATTTACAGGTTTACAGATGCCCAATCACTTCTACCTAGGCTGCAAGGTGCTGTCCCTTCCTGACTTCCCCCACCATGTGTCCCAAACTTGGATGACCATGGCGGGTGTTGGCTGGTAAAGCGGACCTGCTCCCTATGTGATAACAATAAAGATAAATGTAGTAAAAAAAAAGCCACATTTTTTTAAAGCCCTCTGCCCCCACAAACATGCACATGTGAACATAAATCCATTCATCGTTTGCACCTATGTATAAAAGCGATGACTGCGCCACATGCATCACCTATGGACAATTTTGGATACCAAAGTTGTTTGACGTTTCACAGGCATACGCAATTTTGAGGCTTGAAATGTTTTGTATCTATTTCTTCAACACACCATCATCTTGTATATTTTACCATAATTGGGTATTATATTTTGTTTTGTGTGCTCTAAAATTGGTTTGAATGATTTTTGACTGAAAATTTGAGTTTGATAAACTGTTGCTCTAATATCGTGTGACATAAAAAATTGCAACTGCCACCATTTTAAAAATGGTAGCTAAAGGATTAAAAAGTATATGTTGGATCCTATGCATGAAGGGAGCAGTCCCATAGTATTGTGGTGCTCCAGCTTACGATCTGCTAACAATTATTGGGGGGGGGGGTGCACTGTTCCTAAAGCACCACACAGCGAAAGCCTGTTTTGTTGTCCCCTGTTTGAGTTAATTCACTGCTTGGAGTCACCAATAGCTCTGTTATGTTTGGTACCCCTCCCCTGCCTTACCCAGAGAGGGGTTTTCTGCAGCAATGCTATATTTTATAGGCTAACTTGCAACTTTGCTTGG